TTACCCCCTCTCTCTATCGTCTCTTAGGATGTCCCCTACCCCTCCTTCCCTCCACTACAGATTTATCCAAATAAAATGTGGTGGCCCTGATTTGTCTTACAGAAAAGTTTTTACTTTTTTTTCTTCATGAGTTCAGCTAAGAGAAAACTGCAGTTTATGCATTTTTAAGTCTTCAGTGCAGGGTATTTAATTTTCAGTTAACCAGGTTTGGGTTTATGGGATTTGACTACTACAATAGATAACAGTACCTCAATACTGTTTATTGTTTTTTTTTTTTTAAGACATTGGCCATTTCCCACCCAGGCAGGGTGACCCACAAAGAAAGAAAAACCCAAAAAGAAAAAACGTTCATCGTCATTCAACATTTTCACCATCACTCATACATAATCACTGTCTTTGCCGAGGAGCTCAGATATGACAGTGTAGATGTCCCTCCAAACTGCCAATATCCCAAACCCCTCCTTTAAAGTGTAGGCATTGTACTTCCCATTTACAGGACTTGAGTCCAGCTAACTGGTTTCCCTGAATCCTTTCACAAAATATTCCTTGCTCACACTCCAACAGCTCCTCAGGTCCCAAAAATCATTTGTCTCCATTCACTCCTATCTAACATGCTCACACACGCTTGCTGGAAGTCCATGCCCTTCACTCACAAAAACCTCCTTTACCCCTTCCCTCCAATCTTTTCGAGGACAAATCCTACCCTACCTTCCTTTCCCTACAGATTTATATGCTCTCCAAGTCATTCTACTTTGTTCCACTCTCTCTAAATGACCAAATCACCTCAACAACCCCTCTTCAGCCCTCTGATTCATACTTCTAGTAACTTTGCACCACCTCCTAATTTCCACACTACAAATTCAAGTCAGTCGGCGGGGAAGTGAGAGAGAATGGGCCCAGCATCCCACCGACCTGGATAAGCCTACAGAGGGCAGCACTTAAATGCCGTGAAATATGAACTAAGCTGACAGACAGCATAGGCTGTCTGTGCTGACAGTACAGGCTGTCTACAGACGTGTCAGCAGATGGGCCTATGAAGGATGAGGTGAATCATAGAACTGATGAGGGGAAAAGGATGAGTGGTGCACTTAGGAGTCTGTGGAGACAAAGAACTTTGTCCATGAAAGGAAAAAGGGGAATGTATGAGAGTATAGTTGTACCAACACTCTTGTATGGGTGTGAAGCTTGGGTGATGAATGTTGCAACGAGGAGGAGGCTGGAGGCAGTGGAGATGTCATGTTTGAGGGCAATGTGCGGTGTGAATATAATGCAGAGAATTCATAGTTTGGAAATTAGGAGAAGGTATGGGATTACCAAAGCTATTATTATCCAGAGGGCTGAGGAGGAGTTGTTGAGGTGGTTCGGACATGTAGAGAGAATGAAACAAAACAGAATGACTTCGAGAGTGTATAAATCTGTAGTGGAGGGAAGGCAGGGTAGGGGTCGGACTAGGAAGAGTTGGAGGGAGGGGGGTAAAGAACATTTTGTGTGCGAGGGGCTTGGACTTCCAGCAAGCATGCGTGAGCGTATTTGATAGGAGTAAATGGAGACAAATGGTTTTTAATACCTGACATGCTGTTGGAGTGAGAACAAAGTAACATTTATGAAGGGATTCAGGGAAACCGGCAGGCCGGACTTGAGTCCTGGAGATGGGAAGTAGTGTCTGCACTCTCAAGGAGGGGTGTTAATGTTGCTTTATAACTGCAATGTAAAGCACCCCCTCTGGCAAGACAGTGATGGAGTGAATGACGGTGAAAGTTTTTATTTTTTGGGCCACCCTACCTTGGTGGGAATCAGCCGATGTGTTAATAAAAAAAAATAGTATAATAATTAATAATAATAATAATAGTAATAATAATAATAATAATAATAATAATAATAATATGTAAAATAATAATACATGTACAGTGGACCCTCTTTTTTCGTGAGCATTGGAAGTCATAATTTTAAAAAATCGTAACTTTTTTCGTCAAAATATTGACTCGCAAATCATCATTTCACCCTCAAATAGTCATTCGTCCTAGACGCATACACACGTCCCCAAGCGGCCCCCACACTCCATTCACAGCCAGTGTGCCACTGTTCATCAGTGAGAGAGGATGATCCCACCTGTTCATACAATGTATTTTGTAATATTCCATTTGTTTTAGTGCTTGCAACTGCTAAATAAGCCACCATGGCTCCAAAGAAAGCTCCCAGTGCCAGGCCTTTGGTAAAGAAGGTGAGAAACACAATAAAACTCAAGAAAGAACTCATAGCAATGTACCAAAGTGGAGGAGGAAGAGAGAGGGGAGAATGTACCTCCTTCAGTAATTCAACGATATGTATGATACTAAAGCAGCATGAGTCGACAAAGGCTATAGTGCCAGCCAGCAATAAAGTGTAGCATTAACAGTGTAGCAAGGAAGTTAAGCAATTAATCGATAGAAAAAGGACAACACGAACCTAAGTCCTCCAATGCTGTTGGAGTTATATAGGGTCACTGAGAACACTGCCACCTCCACCACCATGTACTGCTTATGCTCTCAGTGGCCCTTATACAACCAACAATAAAACACACCACTCGTGACAAACATAATGACATTTTTTATTCATTCTAGAGTATATGTCATGTTTCTATGGTATTAATATTGCTTATTATGTCATATCAGATGAATTGTGATAGATAAATAAGCCATAGAGTTGATATTAGTGTCATATTGAAGGACTATCTTGTCCTGCCTCCAAACACACTCCCCTGCCGCCACCACAATTCCTAACGTACATAATGGCATATTTTATTCGTACACCAACAAGAGTCTTCAATAAAGATAAGTGTGATGTTATTATTGTTTTATTTTTCATGTCTCATTGTTTTCTGTGTATGTAAATCTATATATCATGTAAAAAAAAAATATTTTTTTGTTAATACTTTTGGCCTGAAATGGATTAATTGGATTTACATTATTTCTTATGGGGAAATCATCAGTTTCGCCATTAGTCACACACTGTTGAACGGATTAATTACGAAAAACGAGGGTCCACTGTATAATAGTAATGTGCTATATAATAATTATAATAAAAGATGGCTTCAAAACACCGTCACTATATAGTAGTGATTACCACAACAATGCAGGAGTGGTTGTGGCCGCCTCCACCTGTCACACAATGACATTTTTTATTCATTCTAGAGTATATATATCAGGTTTCTATGTTATTTATATTGTTTATTATGTCATATTAGATGAATTGTGATAGATAAGTAAGCCATATAGATGATATTAGCGAAATATTGAAGTACAGTGGACCTCCATTTTCATCGATCTCCGTTATCGCCGATTTCAGTTTTGGTCGACTTTTTTCGTTGATTTTTAGACTCCATTTTCATCAATTACCTCTGTTTTCGTCGATGGTACAGAACCTGTCCAGTGCTCAGCATGCAGACAGAGCTGCCTCCCACATGCATTCTCAGGTAGTGTCGTGTTGTTTCTCGGTAAGTGAACATATCCTGCTAGGTCATATGAAACATTTTATAATAATCCATTGTTTTTGGCATTTGTTTATTGTGTGTTACTGCTAAATAAGCCATCATGGGCCCAAAGAAAGCTTCTAGCACCAGCCCTTTGGTAAAGAATGTGAGAAACACAATATAATTCAAGAAAAAGTTGTAGAAAAATATGAAAGTGGTGGTGGTAGAGGGTAGTAGTGATAGTGGTAGAGGGTGGTAGTGATGATGGTAGAAGGTGGTATTGATGGTGGTAGAGGGTGGTAGTGGTTGTGGTAATAGAGGGTGGTAGTGATTGTGATGGTGGTAGAGGGTGCCTTCTTCAGTGATTCAGCAATTCTACTAACTCCTCCAATGTTGTTGGAGTTATATAGGGCTACAGAAAACACCTCTGCCTCAGCTGCAGCCTTCACCACCACTATGGACTGCTTATTCTCTCAGTGACCCTTATACACCCAACAGTACCGACACAACACCAGTCGTGACATACATAATGACTTATTTTATTCATTCTAGAGCACAACACCAGTCGTGACATACATAATGACTTATTTTATTCATTCTAGAGTATATGTCATGTTTCTATGTTATTAATATTGTTTACTATGTCATATTAGTTGAATTGTGATAGATAAATAAGCCAGAGAATTTATATTAGTATCATATTCTCCAAGTATAAACTCGCCTCTCCTCCCTGTGCCATACACCAACAAGAGTCTTCAATAAAGGTAAGTGTGATGTTAAATGTTCATTTATACATTTTATTACATAAGAACATAAGACAGCAGGAACACTGCAGCAGGCTTGTTGGCCCCATACTAGGCAGGTCCTTCACAGACCATCCCATTAACAGAATTATATTTGCCCAACACAACATTCAATGCTTCCCAGAAGTAGCAAGATATATCTGTTCTTCTTTCAACAAATCGACCGTATCTCACCGAGGTAGGGCGGCCCAAAAAGAAAAACAAGTTTCTCTTTTTAACTTTAGTAATATATACAGGAGAAGGGGTTACTAGCCCCTTGCTCCCGGAATGTTAGTCGCCTCTTACAACATGCATGGCTTACAGAGGAAGAATTCTGTTCCACTTCCCCATGGAGATAAAAGGAAATAAACAAGAACTAGTAAGAAAATAGAAGAAAACCCAGAGGGGTGTGTGTATATATACATATACACTGTATATGCTTGTACATGCATGTGTAGTGTGACCTAAGTGTAAGCAGACGTAGCAAGATGTACCTCAAATCTTGCATGTTTACGAGACAGAAAAAAGACACCAGCAATCTTATCATAATGTAAAACAATTACAGGTTTCTGTTTCACACTCACTTGGCAGGACAGTAGTACCTCCCTGGGTGGTTGTTGTCTACCAACCTATTACCTAGGTCTATTGTATATATTGTGTCTACAGTATATACTGTTGTCTACTGTTGTACCTATCATTACAATCACATGTATAAATGCTGTCTACTTCAGTTCTGCAACTGTTAGAACCTTATTGTGGTCCAAACTTACTGTTTTGCCTTTGGAGTTGACAAGTGGGCTAGCCAGCTGGTCATGACGATGTATTCCAGCTTTGTCTCCATCCAGAGTAATAAAACTGGAGTATGACCCACGTGTCCATGGATTACTGCCCCACCTTGTCCTGGGTAGAAATATGTGTACATTGCATAATGGTTCTAAAGTAATTCACTTTCACAATTTATAAACCAAATGTTTAGTTTATTTGAAAAGTAAATCTTCCTGCCCTGCAGTAACCTCAGCTGTCTATAACCTCTATCTTGGATACTTGCAGATACTTTAAAAGGAGCTCAACATGAACTTTAACTTTGATTAGGGATGGGACAATACCAAATTTTCTGCTGATCCTAAGTTTTAGGCCTACCATCAAAATTGGTCAATACTGAAACACTGGCATACCCCTAATTTTGATTGATTTGATATAGGTTTTACTGAGCCAAGAAAATTACATGATTTATTTTGGAAAATCAAGGATGTGCAGTTTAAAGTATAATAGCACTACAGGATAACTCACCTCCTGAAGAAAGTGGGTTCAGGGACGATATCTCCAATGACTCTTCTTAGGAGATAGAGGATATGCTCCTTAACAATGCTCTCTGGCAGAGATTCCATGTAAGTAGAATTGGCACCTGTGACAAATGTCTCCAGTACTGTCCAGTGCTGATGAATGCTGAACATGATCGTTACGCCATACAACCATGACTAAGGCGAGTTGAATGTATGTGAAAAAAATTTAGTGTTCAGAAATATATGCTTATTCCAGATGATTGTACATGGCAGGTAAGAAGACACAATTATGCATGCCTAAAGAAAGCTTTTGCTTTATGTAAACATCTCGGTGCAAGAATAAAAAGGCAATTTTATTATTCTGACACTGCAATATGCAAGGCAATATCTACCTACCATGTTTTCTGAAAGGTCAAAGGTGGTCCACAGAATGTGAAGTTCAAGTGGTTTAGATCCCCACCATGGTTCTGCCCAGCCTACTTGCACCTTATTTGCTACGCCCAGGCGAACATTCTAAGGTCAAAAGTACATTTGTTATTGTAAGTCTTTATTTTAATACTGTCAAGCATTACACAGTCAATTTATTTAACCCTTTGAGGGTCCATCCTGTAGTTCTATAGTTTTGAAGCCAGGGTCCAAGTCGTAGTTCTATGCCATGAGCTCAGCTCATTCAGATAAGCTGTGAGCGGTAAATTTGGGCCTAGATATGAAAGCGCCTATGTGGTAAGTGTGTACCATATAAAACAAATCCTGCAGCACATAGTACATAATAAGAAAAAAACTGTGACTACGTTTTTGGATTAAGACAGTGTATTTGTGGTGTATTTTCGTATGTTTTTTATGGCTGTATTCACGGTTTCTTGGTCTCATTTGATAGAATGGAAGATATATTACAGAAGTTAGAGAAGGTAGTAGCAGAAATGTTTGATTTTTGCAGATGTTCAAGAGTAAATAAATGATGTCACACATCCAATACTCATCAGCTGGTAGTTCTAATGTATGTTCACGAATGTGCTGATATTATTTATACAATTATTACAATATTGCATAACTGTAAGTCTTCTGTTTTTTGGTGTGAATAAAAATTCATTATGTGAATAAAAAATCAAAATGGAATTCATTTATAAAGCCTGGAAATAAAACTAATAAACAGAGGAAATGCTATTTTAGTGCCAGGAATGCCTGCATTGTTTATTCTGGACCCTATTGTGAAAATGGAATATTTTGAACTTTGTGTGAAATTGGCCATATTATCAATTCCAATCACTTTACTGGGTAGTTGAAATAGTTTATTAGGCAATTTCTTGTGCTCAGTCGATAAAATAGAAGTACAGCCTCTCTTTACTTAGCAACGTACTCGTTTACCGACGCTTCGGACTTATGACGGGCTCTCTGACCAGCATACATAACTAAATAATGTATATTAGTGCAGATTTCCTCTATTCTCTTTATTACAATATACAGTACAGTGGAACCTCTACTTGCGAGTTTAATCTGTTCCATGACCTTGCTCGCAACTGGATTTGCTCGTTTGCAGAGTCAATTTTCCTCATTTAAATTAACTGAAATGCAATTAATCCATTCCAGTGGAATTCTGTACTTCAATAATTTCGCTAATATCAACTTGGCTTGTTTATCTATCTCACTTAATCTAGACATAATAAACAATATAAATAACACAGAAACCTGATATACTGTAAAATGAATAAAATGTCATTCATGTAGTGGTATGGGCGGTGTCGGCGGTGGACAAGAGTTTGTCTGGATACTGGGCAAAATACTTCATGAATAATTTCGCTAATATCATCTATACGGCTTATTTATCTATCACAGTTCATCTAATATGACATAACAAACAATATCAATAACATAGAAACATGATATATGCTCTAGAATGAATAAAATATGTCATTCATGTAGTGGTATGGGCGGTGTCGGCGGTGGACGAGTTTGCCTGGAGACCGGGCAAAATACTTCATGAATAATTTCACTAATATCATCTATACGACTTATTTATATATCACAGTTCATCTAATATGACATAACAAACAATATAAATAACATAGAAACACGATATATACTCTAGAATGAATAAAATATGTCATTATGTAACAGGTAGAGGCGGCCACAACCGCTCCCTCTTTGTGGTAAACACTGCCATCTAGTGACGGCGTTTTGAAGCCGTCTATTGTTATAATTATTATATGTAGTACATTATTATTATTATATATGTATTATTATTTTTTTTTTTTTTTCAACAAGTCGGCCGTCTCCCACCGAGGCAGGGTGACCCAAAAAAGAAAGAAAATCCCCAAAAAGAAAATACTTTCATCATCATTCAACATTTTCACCACACTCACACATTATCACTGCTTTTGCAGAGGTGCTCAGAATACAACAGCTTAGAAGCATATACGTATAAAGATACACAACATATCCCTCCAAACTGCCAATATCCCAAACCCCTCCTTTATTATTATTATTATTATTATACATATTATATTATTATTATTATTATTATTGTATTACAGTGGTCCCTCAATTATCGTCCTTAATCCGTTCCTGGAAGTGGGACTGTTATCGAAATAGACGATTTTCGAATTAATTTTCCCCATAAGAAATAATGAAATCCAATTAATTCGTTCCAGACACCCAGAAGTATCAACAACAATTTTTTTTTTTTACATAAAAGATAGATTTACATGCACAAAAGAATGAACATTCAACATGACAATTACCTTTACTGAAGGCTGTTGTTGATGAATGGAAGACAGGGAGGAAGGGAGAGGGAAGAGAGGTTATTGTTTGGAAGGGGAATCCCCCTCCATAAGGACTCTAGGTCACTTCAAGTGTCACTTCCCTAGCATAAATATAGATTTACATGCAGAAAAGAATGCCAAATAAATGTAAAGCACTAATAAAATGTATAAATGAACATTGGTAATAGGGGTAGTTGATGAGTGGAATGGTCTGCCTAGTAGGGTCATCGAAGCTAAAACATTGAGTAGTTTCAAATTTAGGTTGGATAAATACATGAGTGAGAGGGGTTGGATTTGAGTTGGACTTGCACCTGAGCTTATTGCTTGGGTAGCATTTTTTCTGTTAGTGGGTTGGATTTGTGAAGGACCAGCCTGGTATGGGCCAACAGGCTTATTGCAGTGTTCCTCCTTTCTTATGTTCTAAAAGCTATGGCTTAGGTAGTTTCAAATTTAGGTTGGATAAATACACGAGTGAGAGGGGTTGGATTTGAGTTGAACTTGCACCTGAGCTTATTGCTTGGGTAGCATTTCTGTTAGTGGGTTGGATTTGTGAAGGACTGGCCTAGTATTAGCCAGCAGGCCTACTGCAGTGTTCCTCCTTTCTTATGTTCTTATTGAAGACTTGTTTGTGTGAGGGAGGGATGGCAAGTTTATTGATGGAGAATATGACACTAATATCAACTCTATGTCTTATTTATCTATCACAATTCAACTAATATGACATAAACAATATTAATAACATAGAAATATGGAATATACTCTAGAATGAATAAAATAAGTCATTACGTATGTTACGAGAGGTGTTGTGTTGTTGTTGGGTATATAAGGGCCACTGAGAGTAAGCTGTCCATAATGGTGGTGAAGCAGCAGCTGAGGCGGCAGTGTTTTCTGTAGCCCTATATAACTCCAACAACATTGGAGGAGTTAGTAGAATCGCTGTATCACTAAAGAAGGCACCCTCTACCACCATTACTACCACCTTCTACCACTATTGCAACTGCTACCACCATCACTACCACCTTCTACCACTATTACAATTGCTACCACCATCACTACCATCTTCTACAACTGTTACCACCATCACTACTACCTTCTACCACCATCACTGCCACCCTCTACCACCATCAACCAGTATCACAACTGCTTCCACTCTACCACCACCACCTTTGTATTTTTCTACAAACTTTTTCATAAATTATATGTGTTTCTCACATTCTTTACCAAAGGGCTGGCACTAGAAGCTTTCTTTGGATCCATGGTGACTTATTCAGCAGTTGCAAGCATTAAAATGAATTGAATATTATGAAATATTTCGTATGAACAAGTGAGGGGACCGTCGCTCACTGGTAAACAATGGCACACTGGCTGGGAAGAGAGGCTGAGGCGGCTCAGAGTGTGAGTACGTGTCCCGGACGAAAGACGATTAGCGAGTAAACCGACTATTTGCAAGCCAATGTTTGGACGAGAATAACGCGACGATTTCCGAAAAGGATGACTATCGAGCTGGACGATTATTGAGGGACCACTGTATATTATTATACTACATGTATTATTATACATATTATTATTATACATATTATACATATTATTATTATTATTATTATTATTATTATAATAATTATTATTATTATTATATAAATTTGTTATTTTTATTCACACAAAAAATATAAGATTTACTGACCCACGAAATCGTTATGACACGATTGCAAACAAACCATAACACGGGCAGGATTTGAACCTGCGGTCAGAGTCTCAAAACTCCAGACCATTGCGTTAGCCACTGGACCAGCTAGCCACAGTAAGATTCGTCCAACTAGGTATATTTCTACACCATAGGAAGGTCAGCCTAGGCACCACTGTGACCACATAGGCACCACTGTGACCACCATCTAGCTGGTCCAGTGGCTAATGCGACGGTCTGGAGTTTTGAGACTCTCTGACCGCGGGTTCAAATCCCGCCCGTGGTATGGTTTGTTTGCAATCGTGTCATTACGATTTCATGAGTCATGTTAACAGCTTTGAGGGGCCTTGAGCTAGAGTTCGTCACGGTCACGCTAGCTGGAGATTTGTCTGTAAAAACTTGCATTTGTGGTCACAGTGATGCCTATGCTGACCTTCCTATGGTGTAGAAATATACCTAGTTGGACGAATCTTATTGTGGCTAGCTGGTCCAGTGGCTAACACGATGGTCTGAGTTTTGAGACTCTGACCGCGGGTTCAAATCCCGCCCGTGGTATGGTTTGTTTGCAATCGTGTCATTACAATTTCATGAGTCATGTTAACGGCTTTGAGGGGACTTGAGCTAGAGTTCGTCACGGCCATGCTAGCTGGAGATTCGTCTGTAAAAACTTGCATTTGTGGTCAGAGTGGTGCCTATGCTGACCTTCCTATGGTGTAGAAATATACCTAGTTGGACGAATCTTATTGTGGCTAGCTGGTCCAGTGGCTAACGCGACGGTCTGGAGTTTTGAGACTCTCTGACCGCGAATTCAAATCCCGCCCGTGGTATGGTTTGTTTGCAATCGTGTCATTACAATTTCGTGAGTCATGTTAACGGCTTTGAGGGGACTTGAGCTAGAGTTTGTCACAGCCATGCTAGCTGGAGATTCGTCTGTAAAAACTTGCATTTGTGGTCAGAGTGGTGCCTATGCTGACCTTCCTATGGTGTAGAAATATACATAGTTGGACGAATCTTATTGTGGCTAGCTGGTCCAGTGGCTAACGCGACGGTCTGGAGTTTTGAGACTCTCTGACCGCGAATTCAAATCCCGCCCATGGTATGGTTTATAAGATTTACTGTTATTCCTTATTGCAATAATTGTATAAATAATGTCAACCCATTCACGACTGCATATTGGAATGGACAGTGACGTCATTTGTTTACTCTGAAACAGCCAAGCAATGGACCATTTCTCCTAAGTTGAGCTCTATTTCAAGGTACTTTTTGTCGTGAAAGCAATTAAAATCATATCTATTTCTGTAATAGATCTTCCATTGTATCAAATGAGACCAAAAAAATGAGAATACAACTATAAAAACCATTCGAAATTACCGCAAAGGGGTGGCTAATTGCTGAGAAGTGAACTCCATTATTTATGCTTAGATTTCTTTCATTTTTGATGTACGTTAAGAAGCATCTTTCCATCATACACTCCCCAAGTTTAAATAAGATAAGTCCAACAAACAAATGAGATACAATTCCCGAGATCAAGAGCAAGAGCCCCTCACCAGTGTCAAGGAACTTGCCTTGAGGTCTACTCGCTTGTGGAAATTTTGCTCGTGTATGGAAGCAAAAAATCAACCCATCGACTGCTCATATTTGGAAAAACTCGCACATGGACACGCTCGCAAGTAGAGGTTCCACTGTACATTACTGTATAAGCATTTAAAAATATACCATAAATGTCATAAATGGTGCAAAGGTGGTTGATACAAATCCACTACCATTATAGTATGCTCCTCACTTAGCGACGAATTCGTTTACTGACGTGATCTTAGGAATGGAACTCCGTCGTTAAGTGAGGAGAGGCTGTAATACTAGTGAAACAGCTAAGAATTTGGTCGACTGGAATAATGTAATTGGCCTAAAATGGGAGTCAGAGTGAACAAAATCGTTGATGCATAAATATCGCTGACACAGCAAAATTCACGAGGGCATAATTTTGTCAATTTTCCATCAAATTTCGTACTTTTTGTATTATTACCTTCAGAAAAAAGATTCTCTACCATTTCATAAGAAAAACAATAAAATTTTTTTTGGAAAACTCTTGGACCCTGTGCACAAGTTTCAGATTGGGAGTCTGGAACCTGAAAGGGTTAGTACATGCATGCCATTTCCCATCAGGGTAGAGTGAACCAAAGAATGAAACCAATCACCATCATACATCTTCTAGCTATCTTTCCAGAAGTGCATGGACATTCAAATGACTCACCAAATTATAAGCACACTACTTTGCTCCTCCATAGCATAAATGCTTTCAAACCAGTTTTTCTGAATCCCTTCATAGATGTTACCATGTTCACACTCCAACAGCATATCAAATCTTCAAACAGTCTGTCTCCTCTTACTCAGATGCCACATACTTACTGGATGCTCAGTTCATGGACATCACCAATTTAAATGACCTACCAAACTGTAGTTACTGTACTTCCCTCCACTGCAGTTTAAGCATGGCACACCAGTTTTTCTAAACACTTTCATTGATGTTACCTTGTTCACACCCTAGTGGCACATAAAATCTCCTCTCACTTAGATGTTACATGCTTGCTGAATGCTCAAGTCCCTACCAGTTAAAACCTTCACACCCTCTTTGAATCTCCTCTCACTCAGATGTCACATGCTTGCTGGATGCTCAAGTCTCTACCAATTAAAACCTTCACATCTCAGACTCCCACAACATTTTCTAATCATTTTACTCCTTATTCTTTGCATGTTCACATAATATACTGACCAAAATGAAGACATCATTGCTGCTACAAGGCTCTGCTACACTACAACACTAAAAAACTTTATTCTCACACCCATGTATGTGTTGGCATCACTTTACTTACAGTGTGTTTTCATTTGTACACCCACTAATAAACTTCTTTCTTATCAGACGCCTCAATATTCCACCTACATACTTTTTCCTCCTCTCTATTCGAAGAGATACTTTATCTTTCATGCACCCACCAGCAGACACATCCACTTCTACATATCTAAAGATATTCACTTCTTTCTTTCTTTCTTTCTCTCCCTTCAATCTAATGTCCAATTTTTCATTGTAGATACATTTCCTCACTTATCACTTTGCCCTTTCCTATGTTCTTTTTTAACTCCTTTCTTTTATATGTCCTCTCAAACTCCTCTACAACAGTTTTGCAACTTCTCTGCAGAATATCCCAGAAAACAGTTAAGAGAAATACAAAGTAAGATGGTTGAGGAACAAGGAAGATTTAAGAAAGGAAGATGTATGGATCAAGTATCTGTATTAAAGCACATGCACATTATATTACTTAGAGAAGTGTAAGGAGTGATTTGATGCACTTAAGGATGTGGAAAAGGCATATAAGAGTTTTTATGAGAAGCGAGGCTCAATTTCTCCGTGGGGGAGTGGAACAGAATTCTTCCTCCGTAAGCTATGCGTGTCATAAGAGGAGACTAAAATGCTAGGAGCAAGGGGCTAGTAACCCCTTCTCCTGTATATATTACTAAATTTAAAAGGCGAAACTTTTGTTTTTCCTTTTGGGCCACCCCACCTGTGGGATACGGCCGGTACGTTGAAAGAAGAAGAAGATTTTTGCTTTTTCTTTTGGTGGGATATGACCAATTTGTTGAAAGAAGAAGAGGCTCAGTTTAGTGTATGTGTTTATCAGAGGTGAGTATTTTCTAACATAGGTCTTAGACAGAGATGTGTTATGTCACTCTGGTTGCTTATATAAAGAGTTGTACAACACATAAATGCTAGTGTTGGAGAGACTTGCAGGATTAAAAGAAAATGAAATAGGTATAATGTGGTAGTTGTCACAGTTGCTCTTTGCTAAAGAAGGTACTTTTGGGAGTTACATAACAGAAGTTGCAGAGATGGTGGAATTTGGGAAGGTGTGTAAAAGGAAGTTAACTGAAACTGAACCCTCAAAACGAGCAGCATGATGTATGTAAGAAGTCTAGGAAATAAAAAATTCAAGGAAGGATACAGGGAGGAAGTAAACTTATTTTTATACAGTATTGGGGATTAAATGTGTTGGCATATGGGTCTATGAAAGACTAGGTGAATTATACAACAGATAAGTGAAGAAACATAGTTTGAAATGTTGAGGAGGTAGTGAAAGAAGAGTTTATCAATGAATACCATAAAGGGAAATGTATCAAATTATAGTGGTACCAACACTTCTGCATGGATGTGAGGCTTGGTCTTTGAATGTTGCAGTGAAGATGTAAAAGATATGTTTGAGATCAATGTATGGTGTGAATATTATATAGAGAATAAGAAACAAAGAAATTGAAAGCTGATGTTATGGTATGAAGTCTAATTCAAGGAGAGGAAGAGAGGATGTTGAAATGGTTTGGTAATTCAGAAAGAATAAAACAAGAACCACTGATCAAGAGGTTGTATAAACAGGATATGGATGAAAGGTGTAGAGGACATCCCATAAAGGTTGAAAGGAAATTCTGGAAGTACTGGTTTAAGAGTTCAGAAAAACATGTGAGAGTATATTAGATCAGGGTAGAGACAAGGTTGGTTGGGTTATTCTATTTTGCATTAACAGTTTTTGACAGCCAAGGTAGTAGGTTGGTAGACAGCAACCACTTAGAGAGGTACTACCATCCTGCCACGTGAGTGTAAAACAGAAGCCTGTAATTGTTCTACATGATGGTAGGATTGCTGGTGTCTTTTTTCTGTCTCATAAACATGCAAGATTAGGTATGTCTTGCTACTTCTACTTACATTTAGGTCACACTACACATGCATGTACAAGCATATATATACACACCCCTCTGGGTTTTCTTATATTTTCTTACTAGTTCTTGTCCTTGTTTATTTCCTCTTATCTCTATGGGGAAGTGGAACAGAATTCTTCCTCTGTAAGCCATGTGTGTCGTAAGAGGCGACTAAAATGCTGGGAGCAAGAGGCTAGTAACCCCTTCTCCTGTGTATATTACTAAAGTTAAAAAGAAAAACTTTCGTTTTTCTTTTTGGGCCACCCTGCCTCCGTGGGATACGGCCAGTTTGTTGAAAGAAGTTTTTGATAGATTTAAGGGTTAGGATAAAATGGTCTGAGAACTTAAGACAATCTTAGATTATCCTAGTTATCAGCCATTTTAAAAGGGGATGATTCAACATGCAGTTGGAGTGCGAGCAAGGTAATATTATCTCTATGAAGGTACTCGGTTAAACCAGTTGCTCTGGCAATGCCTGCATCCTGAAGTCAGGGACTTTAATTAAGGTTCACTGGAACATTTGAAATATGATGTCCATTCACTTTTAAAGAGACACCTAGGGAGCGAAGTGATGATGAATGTGTTTTCCTTCTTTGAGCTACTCAGAACTGGTGAAATATAAAGAATGCATAAAAAAATGTAAAATTATAACAGGCAGTCAATGAAATTTGTATTTATGAAGGACTAACATTTCAAATGCCTATAATGACATCTGACATGTTATTTTTATCATATCTCTCAAAAAATAGTAAGTATTGGTACTAATACATTTTTTAGACAGGAAACCATGAGATAAGAGCAAAAAGTATTGAAAATATTCATATGAAACTTACATATTTTCTTCAGGTTATTAAAATCTAAGGGTTAACAGCTCAATACAGTAGGTGCCCAACTTTCAAACATGTTATATTCCTGTGTTTCAGTTTACAAAAAAAAAAAGTTGCAGTCCTTGTACTTCAACTTACAAACTAGTTTATATATACAAAACAATACTACAAAGAATGGGTATTTCACATGCTTGTACATTAGTTTGGCAATTTTATATATCTAAGTATTTTCTAAGTGTCATATTTGTAAGTACAGATGTGTGCAACTTGGAGAATTTGTAAGTTTTTGAGCTGCATTACCCAGACTTTTTTGTAAAAATAATAATAATCATCATCCTGTATAACCCAAGAAGGCCAAGCAATATAACAGTGACAAAACTAACCATCAAGGCATTGACCAAGCTTTGTGGAAGAGCTGGGTGGAAAATATGAGTATGGCGTTCCTGAAGGTGAGCAACAGAGGCAGTAACAATAACATGGGAAGCCAGGTATGCATCACCTGTCAGTGTAACAACCAACACTCTCTCTTCAGCTGGTTCGTCCCAAAAAATCTTGCAGACTGGTGATGACAGTTTCACTGCAGAGTCAGGAATGCTTTCCTGCAATACCATACATATAAAATGTACAAAAGATGGAATGTAAAATTTTTGGATAAACAAATACATTTCTACCAGGGACTGTAATGTTATATATAATACTACCATGACATAATTATAGTAAAAACTGTTAAATCCAATCCCATAGTAGCTGTAACTTCCCAGTAACCAAATTTCTCCTTTCTCTTTTAATAATGGTTTAAATTAACCTACTGAATGCAGCAAAAAGGAAAATGTACCAGAAAATAGTGGTACTAAAACTGTTATATGGGTGTGAAGCATGGGTTTTAAACATAGCAGCAAGGAGGCTGCAGGCAGTGGAAAAGATGTGTCAGAGAGAAATGTGTGTTGTGAATATTATGCAGAGAATATATAGTTTGGAGATTAGAAGGAGGTGCAGGGTTACTAAAAGTATTATCCAGAGGTCTGAGGAGAGGTCACTGAAGTGGTTTGGACATTCAGAGAATATAGAGGAAAACAGGATGACTCTGAAGTTGTATAAATCTGTAGTGGCAGGAAGGAGGGGTAAGAGTTGTCCTAGGAAAGGTTGGAGGGAGGGTGTAAAAGAGGTATTGTACGTGAGGGGCTTGGACACTAAATAGGAATGTGCTACCATGTTAGGAGTGGAGGCAAGTGGATTTTAAAACTTGATGTGCTGAAGAAGTGTGAGCATGGCAACATTTCTTACAGGATTCAGGAATACCAGTTAGCCAGACTTGAGTCCTGGTAGTGGAAAGTACAGTGCCTGCACACTGAAGGAGGGGTGGGGATATTACAGTTTGGAGGGGCATCTGAGCTGTAATGTCAGCACAATTCTGGCAAGATAGTGACAGAATGAGTGATGGTGAGTGTATTTCTTCTTCATTCAGTCTCCCTACCTCAGTGGGAGATGGCCAGTGTGTTAAAGAAAAAAATATTTTCAGCAATATTTACACACACACACACACACACACACAATTTTAAATATAAACAATATGCTCAAGCAGTACTGGCCTCACGTGATCTATTTTGTAAATTTGGCATCTAGGTAGCAACCTGATTATTAACACTATTAATATTCAGAAAGTAGTAGACATGAAATAATGAATGCTGAGCGAGCAGAAAACAGTAATTATTATGTATAACTAAAAGAATAAGCAAGAAGAATGGCCTGAACAAGAACTGTTGCATTATGTACAATGATACTTGCAAAACAAATTTATGTTTCATTACCAAATACGTACTATTTTATTGAAAAGAGTATTTTTCATATTCTAACAATTTTGAGTGTTTTACACATTTATAATTGTTAAACACATTGTGATGTTCACTCAACTGAACTGTGTAAGAGCCAACAAAAATTTCAAACTACATACACTGTTTAATTTATCTTAACATTATTATATTTTTTATTTAACAAGCTTTGACTATCATGGTTTCACCTTGATAAAGTACAGTGTATTGTTTTTTACTCTGGGTACTTTTTATTTTTCACCTCACAATAATCTCAAATTTTCTGACCTGTGGATAAATGATAAACCCTGGTAAACACTTGCATAGCACACATACATAAGATGCTCTGGTACAGTACCTATTGGAAGGGCTACTCCATTCTTTAAAATTAAGACAAGTTGGATTCCCAATTAAAAAAATTAACTGTTTTGAAAATACTACCAAATTATTGCAGGGACTGAATTTACCTGAAGTGAAATGCATGGATAGGGAAATTACAGGGGTGAAAGTACCAGGTGAAAGTACCAAGTCAAAGTACCAGGAGATAAATTACTGCTCACCATTTTTTCTTTGGCCATAAACAGTTGATATGGATATGAAATTCTAGCAAGATGTAGCGGATGACCTAACCTTGGTATCACCTTGTAATCTGTTCCTTCAAAAGGGTGCCTTAACCCTTAAACTGTTCAAACATAGATCTATGTTCACTCGCCTAACGCTCCGAATATTTTGAAAAAAAAAAAAAAAAATTAAATTAAAGAGGGCAATTTTCTGTGTAATAAGACCAAAAAAAAAAAATTTTTTAGGACCAGTACTTACTGAGATATAAGACCGCAAAGTTGGTACTGGATGCTCACCTGACGGCAACATCGAGTCCTGCTGCTTGCAGAAGTGTTGCTGATATACCTTTTTTTCTCATTTTTATTTTAATTTATATAATTTTTATGTTCTGATAATTACAATTTATAATAGTTCTTGTGATTTTATAGCCAATCTTTGTTCTGACACTAATGCAGTGGACCCTCCCTTTTTGTTGAACTCTGTTATCGCCGATTTCCCCTTTCGCCAAGTTTTTTCATCAAAATATTGGTTCCGTTTTCATCGATTTCCTCCGTTTTCATCGATGGTACGGAACCTATCCAGTGCCTAGCACACACACAAAGCCACCACCTCCCACACATTCTCAGGCAGTGTCGTGTTGTTTTTCGGTGAGTGAACATATCCTGGCACTTGTTATAGTGTGTGACTGTTAAATAAGCCACCATGGGCCCAAAAAAAGCTTCTCGTGCCAGCCCCTTGGTAAAGAATGTGAGAAACACGATAGAATTCAAGAAAAAGTTTGTAGACAAAATACGAAAGTGGTGGTGGTAGGTGGTAGTGATGGTGGTAGAGGGTGGTAGTAGTTGTGATGGTGGTAGAGAGTGGAGTGATGGTGGTAGAGGGTGGTAGTGGTTATGATGGTGGTAGAGGGTGGTAGTGGTTGAGATGGTTGTAAAGGGTGGTAGTGATGGTGGTAGAGGGTGGTAGTGGTTATGATGGTGGTAGAGGGTGGTAGTGGTTGTGATGGTGGTAGAGGGTGGTAATGGTTGTGATGGTGGTAAAGGGTGGTAGTGATGGTGGTAGAGGGTGGTAGTGATGGTGGTAGACAGTGGTAGTGGTTGTGATGGTGGTAAATGGTGGTAGTGGCTGTGACGGTGGTAGTGGTTATGATGGTGGTAGAGGGTGGTAGTGGTTGTGATGGTGGTAGAGGGTGGTAGTGGTTGTGATGGTGGTAGTAATGGAGATCTGTGTGATATGGAGTAAGATGGGGATATCACCCTAACAAAGCTGTTGCAAGCCATGTCGGCAACATGTACAATGACAATGTCTTGCCCCATCTTAGAGAAATTTTAAAGAGACACCAGAAACAGAGCTCTCTGTACAGATATTTAGTGCCATGCAGCGACTCTCAAGCTGGTCCTAGTGGCATTAAAAAACAAAGAAGGGAATTGACCCCAGATAAGGAGTTGGTACCTAGAGTCCTTATGGAGAGGGATTCCCCTTCCAGAGAATAATCTCTCTTCCCTCTCCCCTCTTCCCTGTCTTCCATCCACCAGCAACAGTCTTCAATAAAAGAAATTGTCACATTGAATGTTCATTCTTTCATGCATGTAAATCTATCTTAAATAAAAATAATTTTTTTTGTTAATACTTCAGGGTGTCTGGAATGGATTAATTGGATTTACATTATTTCTTATGGGGAAAATGGTTTCAGTTTTCGCTGGTCTCTCTGGAATGGATTAAACACGAAAACCGAGGGTCCTCAAACAGTCACAATCACACCATCAGGTGAACATTTTCACCTACCTTGGCCATTTATTATTGTTTAGAAATATATACAAAGTATTTATAGATCTCAGCAACGTTTTAGACAATAATGGTGTTATGACGAGTGTCACTAAACTGCTGACAGTGCAGGAATGCAGTGACACATGCTGATTGTGCACTGCTGCAGGGAGCCCTGGCTTTATTTGTTTTCACTGTTACACACAAACATGTATGTCTGTCTGTCTGTCCATATAGCTCTGCTTATCTGTCTTTCTGTCTACCTGTGTGTCTTGGTCTTTCTGTCTGCTTGTGTATCTGTCTTTCTGTCTGCCTGTGTGTGATTGTCTTTCTGTCTGCCTGTGTGTCTCTGTCTATATATCTGCCTGTGTGTCTCAGTCTTTCTGTCTGCCTATGTCTGTCTGTCTTTCTGTCTGCCTGTGTGTGTGTGTGTGTGTGTGTGTGTGTGTGTGTGTGTGTGTCTTTCTGTCTGCTTGTCTCTCAGTCTCAGGGAGTGGCTTGTAAACCAACAGGTATTACACACGATGCAGCTGTCACGTCTGATTCGTGAATATGCGTACTACTTGACAGTCATGCTTATTATGTCTTATATCTACAAGCACTGTATAACACTTCACCTGGAATTTTTGGATTATCCTGTGTAATTTATGCTATGTATAATTGTACTTATGTGTACATGTGAGAGAGAGACAAAGATAGAGACAGACAGAGATACAAAGAGACACACAGACAGGGACAGCCAAAGTCAGTAAGTCAAGTCAAGTCAAGTCAAGTCAAGTCAAGCCAAGCCAAGCCAAGCCAAGCCAAGCCAAGCCAAGCCAAGCCAAGTCCAGCCCAGCCAGCCGGCCAAATATGTATTACACACATTCCAGAATCGTTTCACTTTACTTAGGGCATAGGTTATAGGACATTCTGGCAGGATGACACTACCAGTGGTATCAAAAATAAAAGGATGTTGCACAAATGTTACACATGGGTTATTATCGAGGTTTCTGATATTTCCTTGACCACTTGTGGCCACATAAATCACTTTCCTCTTAAAAGGGGAGTGTTAATAATACGACATGATATCAGTGAATCCCTGGTGTTTGCCACTCTATTTGCTCTAGCTGGCACTCAATTGAACTGGTGCTCCCACAAGGTACTAAGTGGTCCCAGATTTTTTTAATATTGCACACACCGAGTGTTAAAACCCATTCTATACTGACCAGGCATCTCAGGCCAAACATGCCAAATTTGGAGGCAGGAAATATAAAACGTAGAACTACGTTTGGAGCGCCAACGGTACAAACGTAAATCAACAGTTGGACAGTTTAAGGATTAATGTTGGTCAAGGGCTTTTAATTCAAGGAACTGGGTTTAACCTCCTCTTACTTGGATCAATCTGATTACCTACTATTTCCCATGTGCTGTATGATCCTTATGTATTTAGCACTTCTCCATGAACATAATTTGTAACCTGCTACAGTATCTTTACTAATACAGTCTCTTTAATAAATATTGGTTTACATTATCTCTTTTCTATTGTACTATACAGTAGGGCCCCACTTATATGGCAGGTTAGGTTCCAGGCTACCGCCGTGAAGCGGAAATCGCCGTGAAGTGGAACTCCTTTTTTTTTTCCACTTATAAATGCATACAAATACTAGATAACAAGTTTACACTAACATATATTAAGTTAGCAATAGAACTAGGCATCAAAAAAACAATAAAAAAGTACAATACACACATAGTGCACTCGTTACTTACCTTAAAATATTTATAGTCTTAATCTAGGGTGAGACAAGTAGCATTTATTGTAAGAAATCAAGTGTGGTATGTATGGTAGTCAGCCAGGCTACCATACCAGGCCATCCCACCTACACATACTATTCTATGATATTTAAGCATCCCCGAGCGATAAAATGTATATACAGTTCACTCATTACTTACCTTAAAATATTTGTAGTCTTAATGTAGAGTCAGGAGTAAGTAAACGAGATAAAACGAATAAATAGAGAGAAAGAATGAGTGCATGAGAGAGGACAGGCGCAAAGTTATGTAAACAAACCAAGCGGAGGTAAGTTTTGTAAACAAACAAAATGTACACGTCTAGTTTGTGTACAAGTTACATTGTGTACAGGTTAAGAGATTAAGAGATTAAGATTTCGTTCGGATTTTTAACCCCGGAGGGTTAGCCACCCAGGATAACCCAAGAAAGTCAGTGCGTCATCGAGGACTGTCTAACTTATTTCCATTGGGGTCCTTAATCTTGTCCCCCAGGATGCGACCCACACCAGTCGACTAACACCCAGGTACCTATTTGCTGCTAGGTGAACAGGACAACAGGTGTAAGGAAACGTGTCGAAATGTTTCCACCCGCCGGGAATCGAACCCGGGCCCTCCGTGTGTGAAGCGGGAGCTTTTAGCCACCAGGCCACCGGGCCACAGGTTGTCTCTACATTGATACGGTAGAATAAATAAAGAAGAACACTCCCATTCTCATGTAACATCATTTTGAGAAGAAATGACGCTCCGAGTGAAGGCAGTGGAAATAAGTCACTCTGACTTTTTTGGGTTATCCTAGGTTCTCTACAGATATGCTGCTATGTATGATAATCTATGTAACTGTATTTGTGTATACCTGAATAAACTTCCATACATACGAAAGGAATAATTTTCTACAGTTACCCCCAGTAACACATTTTCTCTTATGTTAGATTAGAGAAAAAGTTATTCTTGGCATCACTTGTACAAGTTATCTGGCTACCACATCTCATATTTATGTTTATTTATTCTATTGTGGGGTGCATTTATCATCTTTATATGTTATGTATCATGTTTATTAATTTTGAAAAAAAATAGGATGGATTAATGAAAATGTGTATATTAACGTAATATACGACATTTAATGAGACTCGGTGATTATTATTATTATTTCTAATATGGCGTCACTTGTGCAAGTCGTCTGCTACCACATCTCACATTTATGTTTATTTATTCTACTGTGGGGTGTATTTATCATATTTATATGTTATGCATCATGTTTATTATATAATTTTGAAAAAATATCATAGATGGATTAATGAAAATGTGTACATTAACGTAATATACGACATTTAAATGAGACTCGGTGATTATTATTATCATTACTAATATGACGTCTGGAGACATAAGACACTCTTACTGATTTTAATGTGTACCTGCACGCCAGCACAGTGTGTAAGTTTATTTAGGTACAGGTATACATAAGTATAATTATCAGAATATATATAATATATGAAATAACTTTTAAAAACACTTGAAATTTTGGAGTTTCCAGACATAATGGAGAGACTTAGTGCTTACAGATCTCAAAGAATGTAAACAAACCAGGTGGGGCGCGGTGACCGTATTAGAAAGTCAGGTGAGGGGAGCGGTATAGTGAGTTTTGGTCATAATTTAAAATGACTGTATTAGCGGAACGCCGTAAAGCAAAACGTCGTAAAGCGGGGCCCTACTGTACCTGTCTTTGTATAGTTCTATATTTTCTCAATAGTTTGCTTTATTGAAGGTTATTCTAATCCCTTTTTACATTTTTAATTTCTCAGTGTAATTAATTATCAACTGACTGTATGGTAGCCATAACAGAATGTTTAACTCTTCCTTTATAACTATAATACAAAATCATTTAAAATAGCATGGAAAGATTTTCATAAGGTAAAAAATTTACAGTAAACCATACAGTATATTCCAACTTTAGGGGGAAACAATTACCAGTGATGTATAAAAGTGTGAAGTACAGAAACTGATACATGACATAAAGACAGTATTAAAAACAATTACTAAGTTATATCATACCTTCAGGTAAGTGATCAAGGTGTCATAACCATCTTTCCACTGGAAGTCATCACCGTAGTCAACAAACTGGTCAGCATCTCTGGCAGATATGTCAAACCAGCTGCCAGTACCTTCCATGTAATTAACCATCTGTGGCATTAACATACAATAAACTTTTTAATCTGCAACTTTGTTATGTTTTATAAATAGGATGCAAATTTTACATATAGGGTGCCAGCACATCTTCTACTTAATCACTAAAGACTCAGAGGACTGAGCTGTACATTTTTCCAACCCTACCTCAGTAAGAGACAACAGCATGTAGCCAAAAATGACACCTTGTCTGATACCCTCCTAGTAAATCTAGGTGTCCCCTAAGGTAGCATGCTGGGCTCACTTCTTTTCTTCATCTATATCAGTGACCTACCTAATGCCACTCAACATGTAAACCTGTAATCTTGTTGATAATACAACCTTTATTAAATCGGATCCACCCATGCCAATAAGCACTACAGTGAATGACTAAAAACAAAAGGTTCACACATGGATGAATACCGATAAACTCACTCTCAATACTAAAATAACATTTTGTATATCTTTTGAGAACAACCACATCTACAATTAAATATTAAATTCAACGATACTGAAATAGAACAAAAGAGAGGGGAAATTTAATGAGAGGGAGACTATTTCCCAGTAAAATTAGGCCTTAGACAAAGATGTATGATGTCACCATGGTTGTTCAATAGATTTACAGTGGGTGGCGCAGCTAACCGAAAAGTTAGCTTTGCTAATTGCTAACTAAAAAATTAGATCTGCTAATGCTAAACCACTAAACAGCCAAAAAAATTAGCACAAGCCAATGCTAAATGCTAACTTTTTCACATGAACTCAGATTCGGTTTAGTTTTCTGGTCTTTTAATTTTACTTTTAAGACTTTTAGAACAGACCTGAAGAGCTTCCTAATAATATATAGAATGCCAAGGTCATATGATGATCAAGTGCTGCTACTGCGAAAACAGTGATTGTTTAATTTTGTGATGTAATGCAAGCGACCGACAAGGACACACTTGTCGCTGTACTGAAGACCCATAGCACCCGAACAGATTGAGTTAGCTTATTTAACTGCTTTCTTCATTAGTTCCAGTTACTCATTGTATTCGTTTATTTTACTCTGTTTCTGTTCATGTTTGCATTTAACTTAATTTAAATTTTGAACCCAATAAACTACAAAGAAGTGTAGTTGAAAATCGTGCTTGAAGTTGAAACCTTGAGGCCAACTTATCACTGCACCAGCGGTACAGCCATACAGGTGCACACAAATAGTTAAATGAACAAATGAAATAAAACATCAGTTTAAATCTAACATACACTTTATTTACTGTGCAAAATGCATAGCATGGGTATCATGCCAAGATCAGATGATGGCAGGGCTGATTAATACTCTGGCTGGGCCTTCTCCATAGCGTGCCTGACTGACTGTTGGAGAAGCGCCCACAACAGACAGGAACAAACACATGCGCTGTTGAAAAGGCATTGCTCTCCGACTACCAACAATGTACAAATTTTTTTAGGGGACTCAAAGTTAGCAGAACTTCATTATTTAGCAGAAGCTAATTGATCCGCTAACAGTTTCTGAAGTTAGCTCAAATGCTAATCTGCTAAACAAAAAGTTAGTTCCACTAATTATCGGTTAGCGGATTAGCGGAGCTGTGCCCACCACTGTATATTTATAGATGGGGTTGTAAGAGAAGTGAATGCTCAGGTGTTGGCAAGGGGTGTTTACCTGGAGTTGACCAAGAGAGAGTTCCGGGGGTCAATGCCCCCGCGGCCCGGTCTGTGACAAGGGTTAAAAGATAAGGAATCTAACACAAAGTGCGAGTTGTCACAGTTGCTCTTTGCTGATGACACTGTGCTTTTGGGAGATTCTGAAGAGAAGTTGCAGAGGTTGGTGGACGAGTCTGGTAGGGTATGTAAAAGAAGAAAATTAAAAGTGAATATAGAAAAGAGTAAGGTGATGAGGATAAAAAAATTAACAAAAGATTGGATATCAGACTGGAGGGAGAGAGTATGGAGAAGGTGAGTGTATTCAGATATTTAGGAGTAGACGTGTCAGCAGATGGGTCTATGAAAGATGAGGTGAATCAGAACTGATGAAGGGAAAAATGGAAGTGGTGCACTGAGGAGTCTGAGACAAAAAACTTTGTTCATGGAAGCAAAGAAGGGAATGTATGAGAGTATAGTTATACCAATGCTCTTATGTGGGTGCAAAGCATGGGTGAATGTTGCAACAAGGAGAAGGCTGGAGGAAGCGGAGATGTCATGTCTGAGGGCAATGTGTGGTGTGAATATAATGCAGAGAATTTGTAGTTTGGAAATTAGGAGGTGCGGGATTACCAAAACTGTTATCCAGAGGGCTGAAGAGGGGTTGTTGAGGTGGTTCGGACATCCAGAAAGGTTGAAACGAAATAGAATGACTTCGAGAGTGTATAAATCTGTAGTGGAGGGAAGGTGGGGTAGATGTCGGCCTAGGAATGGTTGTAGGGAGGGGATAAAGGAGGTCTTCTGTGCGAGCTGCTTGGGCTTCCAGCAAGCATGCATGAGCGTGTTAGATAGGAGCGAATGGAGACAAATGGTTTTTAGGACTTGACATGGTGTTGGAGTATGAGCAGGGTAAAATTTATGTAGGGATTCAGGGAAACTGGCAGGCTGGACTTGAGTCCTGGAGGTGGAAAGTACAGTATCTGCACTCTGAAGGAGGGGTGTTAATGTTGCAGTTTTATAACTGCAGTGTAAGCATGCCTCTGGCAAGACAGTGATGGAGTGAATGATGGTGATTTTTTTTTTTTGGACCACCTTACCTTGGTGGGAAACAGCCTATGTGTTAATAAAAAAATAATAATAAATAATATTCAACATATTCTCCATGGGGAAGTAGAACAGAATTCTTCCTCTGTAAGCCATGTGTGTTGTAAGAGGCGACTAAAATGCCAGAAGCAAGGGGCTTGTAACCTCTTCTGTATCTGTTACTAAATTTAAGAAGAGAAACTTTTGTTTTTCTTTTTGGGCCACCCTGCCTAGGTGGGATACGGCCAGTTTCTTGAAGGAAGATGATAATGATTCAACAAATATCTACAAAAGTCTCTAAGACAGTAGAGATACAATGGCAATTCACCTGTAACCAATTACAGTGGAACCTTGGTTTTTGTTTGCCCTAGTTTTCGTTGAATTTGATTTTCGATGACTTTTTTTTTGCCAAAATTTTGTCCCAGTTTTTGTTCATCTGCTCAGTTTTCATTGAGTTGACAGTGGTCCGCCGTACCAAATGTGTTTGCCTGCCCGCACCCACACAAACCATCCCACACATTCTGACTCAGTCTGGCTTTGTTTCTCTTCGAGTGAGCATTACCCTGCACATTCATCCGAAACATTTCGTAATAATCCATTGTTTTTTGTGCTTGTTTACTGAGTGTGACTGCTAAATAAGCCACCATGGGGCCAAAGAAAGTTCTGAGTGCCAGCCCTTTGATAAAGAAGGAGAGAAACACGACAGAATTAAAAAAAAAAAAAATAAAAGAGCTGGTGGATGACCACAGGGAAGAGCTAACCACTGAAGAGGTGCAACACCTTCAACTGGAACAACAACAGATTGCAGCTGAGGAAATTGCTTCAAAGGAAAAGGAAGAGAGAGAGAGGAGAATGTGCCTTCTTCAGTGATTAACCCCTTTAGGATCCAAGGCCAAAATCTGAAGTGGTGCTCCAGTGTCCAAGAAATTTTGAAAAAACAAAAAAAAACAAAATTTTTTTTCTTATAGAATTAAAGAGTATATTTTTGTGAAGGTAATAAGACAAAAAAAAAAATTCTGATCAGTACTTACCGAGATACAGCGGTGGGAAGTTGACCCAAAATGACCGGGTGGCGACAACATCATGACTTCCGCAAAATCCCATTTTTTTATTTTACGTTTTTTATACTTTTTTCTTTTCTTTTCTAATTTTTTTCTTTTTCTAATAACATTTGTGGCCTGTGAGACCAGTATAATGTATATTGTATAAGTGTACACTCATTGTATTCAACACAATAACTGCACTAATTTGTTAATCATTATATTACTTACAAAACTTGTTTACAAGTTTATTGTAAACAAAATGATGAAAATATTAGTGCGGTTATTGTGTTGAATACAATGGTACCATATAGTACTATATGGTACAATGGTGCCATAGGGTGCAATTGTACCATATGGTACAATGGCACCCTATGATACAATGGTACCATATGGTACAGTGGCACATGATACAATGGTACCATATGATACAATGGCACCATTTGGTACAATGGTACCATATGATACAATGGTACCATATGGTGCAATGGTACCATATGATGCAATGGTACCATATGGTGTAATGGTACCATATGGTACCATATGATGCAATGGTACCATATGGTACATTGTACCATACAGTACAATGATACCATATGGTTCATTATACCATATGGTACTGTTGTATTCAACACAATAAACACTAATATTTTCATTATTATTTTGTTTACAATAGTTGTTTACAACAAAAATATGCAAAAATGTTGTATATTAGTAATATTCTATTATATATTTACAAGTGTACAGGAACTTGACGTGTTCCTTGAGGTGGATGACAAAGCACTTTGTCTGGGAAACTGTGGAGTCAGTAGCTAGCTTGCGTCGCCACTCACTCAGTCTTGGCTGGTGTCTCATGCCACCAACACCTATTGACCATATGGTACACGGTTTCATATGTTACAGGGTACCATATGGTACAGGGTACCATATGGTACAGGGTACCATATGGTACAGGGTACCATACAGTACAGGACACCATATGGTACAGATACAGGGATAACTATGGAAATAAGTCACCCTGACTTTTTTGGGTTATCCTAGGATTTTATACGTATGCTGCTATGTATGATAATCTATGTAATTGTATTTCTGTACACCTGAATAAACTTACTCAAGTGCATGTGGCATCATAAGTAAGTTTATTTAGTTATATACAAATAAAGTTACATAGAATATCATACTTAGCAGAATATGTTTGGAGAACCTAGGATAACCCAAAAAAGTCAGACAGGCTTATTTCCATTAGGGTCCCTGTACCCTGTA